GGGGGGGGTAAGCATAGTTTTCTCCAATAATAAAAGTAACTACGACAAAACGACAATACAGTATCTATAAATATATCATTCAACTTTTATTTTATGTTACTCTATTTGAGACATTGTCTGTGATTTTGTTGTAGCCCTCTTAGTCCCGTTTCATATATTCTATATCTAGTTTATAATATATATATTATATATATAGCGTATTATGCGAATTATTACTATTATTAATACTATTAGTTCATTATATTTAGCTTATAACAAGTATTATTAGTAAGCAATAATAATAATATCACGCTCGAACAATTTTTTAAGGATTGGACAATGTAAGTTTTTTACTTCGTATTAATAGCCTATTAAGGTTAATGATGACTTATTTTGTAATTATTATTATATATTTAGATTTGCTTGACATAATTGAATTTCTCGCTTCTAAACGATCAAATTCTAGGACACCAAAAAGAAGGTTGTAAACTCCAAGATCCTAAATTAATTGTTACCGAAATTTATGGTTCCATAAAATTAACGATTGTTAATAATTTATTGTAATTCACTGATGAAGGCTCTGTGTAGCGGAAACGTTTGAAATTTCATGTATGATGTTTTATGTAAGATTATATTAAATCTAAATATTATAATACTTTAATTATTAAATTTAAGGATTACTCGAGGGTGAGTTTTTTGTCAGAGAGACAATTGCTTGTCACATTATTTTATTAATATAACGTTAATTTTGTGTCCTCGTTAGTACCACAGGGATACATCACAAACGATCTTCCAATCGCTTGATGAGCTAAATTGTTCTCTCTGTGGAAATACTCAACATTTTAGAACATAACACTCCATTATTCTTGTTTTTTCTGCGTTAACTAAAGATGTTTTACTGCGTTAATTAATATTTATATGTACATCTGAGGATGGCTCGAATATGCAGCCGAAACGTTATGGTTTTGACTTTTGTTTGCGTGCACATTTATAGTATGAATTTTATATTTTATTTTTATTTTATTTTAATTTATAATATATTAAATGTTTTATTAGATCACACATATAATATTGACTCCTAATTGCCTTTTTATTTCATTGACAATTTTTTAATACTAAGAGTCCTGTATATTCGTTCTATTTTAATTATTAAGATCTAATTGTTTTGCTCGTAAGGGTCATTCACTTATTATTATTAGTAAGAATAAGCGCAAGTTAAATTATTTTTGATATAGTTGTTTCCTTCCGCCTGCGAAAAATTAACGATTGTTAATAATTTATTGTAATTCACTGATGAAGGCTCTGTGTAGCGGAAACGTTTGAAATTTCATGTATGATGTTTTATGTAAGATTATATTAAATCTAAATATTATAATACTTTAATTATTAAATTTAAGGATTACTCGAGGGTGAGTTTTTTGTCAGAGAGACAATTGCTTGTCACATTATTTTATTAATATAACGTTAATTTTGTGTCCTCGTTAGTACCACAGGGATACATCACAAACGATCTTCCAATCGCTTGATGAGCTAAATTGTTCTCTCTGTGGAAATACTCAACATTTTAGAACATAACACTCCATTATTCTTGTTTTTTCTGCGTTAACTAAAGATGTTTTACTGCGTTAATTAATATTTATATGTACATCTGAGGATGGCTCGAATATGCAGCCGAAACGTTATGGTTTTGACTTTTGTTTGCGTGCACATTTATAGTATGAATTTTATATTTTATTTTTATTTTATTTTAATTTATAATATATTAAATGTTTTATTAGATCACACATATAATATTGACTCCTAATTGCCTTTTTATTTCATTGACAATTTTTTAATACTAAGAGTCCTGTATATTCGTTCTATTTTAATTATTAAGATCTAATTGTTTTGCTCGTAAGGGTCATTCACTTATTATTATTAGTAAGAATAAGCGCAAGTTAAATTATTTTTGATATAGTTGTTTCCTTCCGCCTGCGAGTTGGACAATTAAGTACCTGTATGCGATTAGGAGGGGAACCTTACACTCCCCTCAGCAATGGAAATGTACTCCAAAATACGCGGCCTTAGTAGTATTAATTTTGTGTGTTTTCCTAGCCTGATAGGCTTGCTCCTAATGGCTTACTTTGTATTTTCTCTAATGAAAAAAAAAAATCATTCAACTTACAATAACGTTTAAATTTAATTTCAAATTGTAATAATCTCACAATTATAATTAACTCCATTATTCTTGTTTTTTCTGCGTTAACTAAAGATGTTTTACTGCGTTAATTAATATTTATATGTACATCTGAGGATGGCTCGAATATGCAGCCGAAACGTTATGGTTTTGACTTTTGTTTGCGTGCACATTTATAGTATGAATTTTATATTTTATTTTTATTTTATTTTAATTTATAATATATTAAATGTTTTATTAGATCACACATATAATATTGACTCCTAATTGCCTTTTTATTTCATTGACAATTTTTTAATACTAAGAGTCCTGTATATTCGTTCTATTTTAATTATTAAGATCTAATTGTTTTGCTCGTAAGGGTCATTCACTTATTATTATTAGTAAGAATAAGCGCAAGTTAAATTATTTTTGATATAGTTGTTTCCTTCCGCCTGCGAGTTGGACAATTAAGTACCTGTATGCGATTAGGAGGGGAACCTTACACTCCCCTCAGCAATGGAAATGTACTCCAAAATACGCGGCCTTAGTAGTATTAATTTTGTGTGTTTTCCTAGCCTGATAGGCTTGCTCCTAATGGCTTACTTTGTATTTTCTCTAATGAAAAAAAAAAATCATTCAACTTACAATAACGTTTAAATTTAATTTCAAATTGTAATAATCTCACAATTATAATTAAAAGTAATGATCAATACAAAATTTTGTATTGTTAAATATTTATTTACGAAATATTTTAATTTATTTTTCGGGGGGCGCAGCCCTCCCCCGAACCTCCCCTGCTTCATGCGCCCCACGCACCACTCCATAACGCTTCGCTCGTGCGACTTTAGATTCGCACTCGCTTCGCTCATGCGACTTTATAATTATATAGCATATTATACTAACACAGTGCACTCGTAATGAAAAATTCTATGTGCAACTCATGTACTATAATTGTCTATAGCGCGACGCGGGCGCGCATGCGCACAATAAACAACTAATATACACTTGTTACACAATGTACTATTAAAGTATATTATTCATAGTTTCAAGCGTTTGTAATGTTAAATGGTACATATAAATAATAGTATTTGTTGGAGAGAGAGAGTGCAACTGAAATCTATAAAATATAATGATCAGAAAAAGGTAATGAGACTTATATTCCTTATAAATTGAAGATTTCAAGGACTCTTTTATATAATAATAATTAATACGTTAAACAGGGCAAATAAGAGTCAAATTACAATTAAAAATCTAAATCTAATAATTTATTCTAATATATTGCGAAGAATACCACGTAATTTTTGGTGTTTCGTCCCGGCTTCCACTACTGGACTCATCAGTAAGGCATTGTAGTGCAAGCCTACCTTATACGCCTGAAAGAGTTATTTAGTAGATATTCTATATAAAGAGATATACACGTGTCTCAGCACTTATGAGAATTTGCGAATATCGATAGACCTCTGATGGCGAGTAGGCTTTCACTATAATGCTTTACTGATGAGTCCAGTAGTGGAAGCCGGGACGAAACGCCAAAAATTACGTGATATTCTTAGCAATATATTAGAATAAATTATCAGAAATTATTATTATATTCCTTATATTATTATACTATAGACTTATATTATTCAGGATCACTTGTTTTAGTTATTGTATTACTTATCCTATTGTCTGTAACATTTTTTTAATACCTTTTTTTTGGTATTATTAATATTAACACCATAATTTTCAAAATTTTAGCCTTTCTCTTCAAAAGTAATTTTATTTTAGTTTCTTTTTCTTTCTCTTTAATTTTCAGCTCTGCTTTTTTAATCTTAATTCTTTTTTAACTGCTATTTGCTATTTCTTTTTTTCTTAATTTCTTCTTGCTTAATTTTTTTCTTAATTTCTCTTTCGAATTTTCGAAGTTCTTTCTGATGTTGTTGTTCTTTTTCTTTTCTGACTTTTCTCTTCATGCTGCTTTTTCCATTCCTCAGTAGCATAAATTTTAGGCTCTTTATTTATTTTCTTCTTTTTTGGAATTTCTATATAAGGAAAGTGTAATTCCTGTTTCCAGAGTTTGTCTGCATCAACAATTTTTTGTGAATTTTTTATAACGATTTCACTTATTGTTGATTCTTATTGCAACGATGATTCATCAAACAAGGAATTCTGGCGACAATCTTTTCCTACTAATAAATTTACTGATTTACCGTAAACTTTTTTTTATATTAGTATCATAAACCATATGTTTCTGATTCTCATTATTCTTCAGTAAATTATATTCTTGTTCAGTAAGATCTTAAAAAGAAATCCATTATTCTTATTGTTTTAAAATTATCTCAAAATCAAAATACATATATAACATTTTCGACGGATTTGCTCCAACCTGGGTTGAATAATGCCCTATTGGTTGAGCACATGATGTCATATAACATCATTAATCCAATATCAGGTGGATGCAAATTCGCTTGGCTCGAAAACGCTAATAGAATAAAATATTCTTACTTACGGCAGTATTGATAACTTTCACACAATTAGGAAGTGAACATTTTAAATCGAGTTCGTCATCTGTTATACTAAGCAATCCTGTAATATTTTCATTACTCAATAAATATTCTCTTCCACATTATTTTGTATCAATTCATTTGAAATGGCATCTAGTATTAGAACTTTATTATTCAAAAATTGTTCGTTGGAATAATTCTCTTCACTGACGTTTCTTGATTTATTTTCATTTAGAGTAGAATTTTCACATATATTTTCTAAAATGTTAACTGTTTTATATAATGACGCATGTTTTAATTTTTTTCACATATTGAATAAAACAATTTATGTTTGTGGAAGTTTATTTAATTGATAAGCTGTTTCAAATTGATTTAAAATATGGGTATGTTTGACTCAATATTCAGTAAAACAACATCTTTCAGAGTTGTATTTTCTTCGGCAGCTTGTAAAGTATGCTTTCATCAATTTACATGATATTTATATGATATGCATTTAGAATAGTCAATTCTATCTGGATTAAATGGCTAATAAACCACAGCATTCAAAAGATTTCTTAATAACTTCTGGATTGCGAGCTTGAATATATGCAGCATGAAAGATTGGTGCAAAATTTGCCTTAGTTATTGACCTATTTGAAACTTGAGCATGTTCTGCAACTTGTGCTTGCCAACACTTTTTGAGTAGTCTAAATATTCTTACATCACATGGCTGTATTATATGTGTTGTATTTAGATATAGAAAATATAGCAAAATGCGATTGGTTATATGGAAGTCATGTAACTGTAAGCTTATATTTGTGATCGTCAAGTAATAAAAGTACTGGGAATTCAATCCCATCATTAACAAATTGTTTTTAAAACCATCTGTAATAAAGTTATTAAACGTTTCTGTGGTCATCCAGCCTTTTGGGCTATGTCTAATTATATACCCACTAGGTACAGAGGCTGCAACCTTTTGCAATATTAAACAAAGAATTTAGGACTGAAAATGTGAATACACAAATAAAAAAAGCCTTAAACAATCAAGTTGGATCTTTAGTATTTAAATAATTTGATGTGAATTGACATATACTACGTATATAATCATGTAAACTAAGCACCAAATGGATTTTTTGTCTAATCGTCTAATGGATTTGTTGTTAGCGTCTTGAAACATAATCCCGATAAAAACCGTAAAAATTATTAACAATTTAATAATTTAATGCTTATAGACATCTTGGAAAGATCTTAATGTGTACAATGTTGATAAACATATTAAAATCTATAAATAATTTTATTGCAAAAGATATTACCTTTTATATGGATAAACTATCACTGAGCAAATTCCTCTATCATCAGCATTGTAAGTACAAAGAACTGTTATACTTTCTTTTTCTTGTCCTGAAACAATGTACATATTTTTTTCATTCCTTGCTCCTATAATAATTTTCCAGTTTTGGGACATAACTGTATCCCTGTTTCATCCATGTTATAGATACGAGAAGAGTCACTTAAAATATCAGAAGCATTTTCTTTTTCTAAATAAAAATTCTTAATAAAATTATATAAACTAGTTATGGACTCTTTATTGTTAAAAACAAATAAATAAAACATAAATTAAAGGCTATTAAGAGTCAAACGCAGTTAACAATGCGAAAAAAATTTTTTAATAATCTTACAAATTAACATTAAGATGCCCCGTCGAACGTTTCGGTCTGCAATTTAGACCATCTTCAGCGACGAAATAATAATAAATCACTACTCCATTTACTCCGAGTTAGAATGCAAGTATTCTTGTTGAACGACAAAATGTTCCTGTGCACCAACTAGAGGTAAAAATATCGAAGATAATGGATGTGGAGTTGTGTAATGAAATTCCGAAAAATCAGAAATATGTCTCTGTTGGTAGACAAAAACATTATTTCATAATTAAATTCACAATTTAATCATACTAGAAAGACTGACTGTAATAAATATGCGTCCGTATTCGACAGTAAAAGACGATACAAACGTTCGACAGGGCATCTTAATGTTAATTTGTAAGATTATTAAAAAATTTTTTTCGCATTGTTAACTGCGTTTGACTCTTAATAGCCTTTAATTTATGTTTTATTTATTTGTTTTTTTCTAAATAGTCTCTTAATTCTGCAAATCATTGTCTGATATTTTCATCAGCAACTCTATTCCTAGATAACACTTCTGTATGTTTCAAGCCAATTTCTGGATGCTTTTTAAGGAATAATTTAAGCTATTTTGACCAGGCATGTTATTTTTTAAGCAATTGAGACGTGGAGCTTTGTCTAGAATACTTTATAGCATTTTTAACTGTATTAGGATATCCAATGCAAGCCTTATCTATCCACTGTTTAATTTTATTCTCTTTTTCACAGAATAAAATAGTTGGTGGACCCATTTTTCTTATTATAGGTACATTGTCGTGTAATTTGTTTATTAATGTTCCTTATGGGGTATTTTGTATAGCACTGAAACTTTATTTGCGCTCAAAACTTTATTTCTAACTTTTTCGATAGCTTCTTTCAGGCTTTCTTCCGTATACTGAAACTTTTGATACTTTCTTTTTGATATTTTTATTGAATTGACTTTTTTAAATTTATTTTTATATTTACTGAACAATTATACGTTTTCTTCTTATTATTCACCAAAAATTTCATTTTTTTAACACACGCAATTTACCTATATATATATATATATA